GACCCTGGTCTGCCCAGTGTCATGCCACTTAGGCAAACACTCCCACAACCAAGTATGTCCATGGAAGGTCATCACAGTAAATGAACTTCACCCCAGAGCCTTAAATACATATCTTTATAAAGTGTATTTGCCCCCTAGGCAGGTCCCGCTTTCCAAGTCACTCTTGTGGCTGAACCTTGATGTCCGAGTACAGGAAACAAGAGCCCATGCTGCCCAAGTTGCTGGGAAATATCTGGGAGAAGCAGCAAGGCTGTGAACTTGTGTCCTTCATGTTTTGGGAACTGACTGGCTGAGCTGGGCCTGCAGTAATATGCTTCCCTGGCTTAGCTTTACACGTGATTTGTCAGTTGCTCACGAGCTGATCACATACCCAAAGAACATGGGGCCAAAAAAGTTCCTAATGACTATGATCTTCACAGTGTGTTCACATCACTGAGGCTGCCTGCAACAGTCAGCCACAGTCAGAAGCTCCAGGGGAGGAGCCAGGCCAGGTTTCTGCAAGTCTCAGTGACACACTTGCTGTTATCCTGAGGAGGTACCTGCCCCCTCTCTCAGCTTAGTGTGAGTCAAAGTTCTGGGCTTTGGCTGTTTCTAATCAGGCTTGTACCCGCTTTGTGAGCTTGGGACTTTCTGTTCAGACACCAGTGCAGCTGCTTCTAATGAGCTGGATCAAGAAGTACAGGAGTTGAGCACCCCCACAGGAGCCATTACAAACATGTGCTATAACAAAGCATCTCATGGTCACATTTGTCAGCAAAACTGGGAAGGCTGCTTGAATCTTCCCTGGACTCCAAGTAAGTTGACCTTACTAGACATGGGGGCCGGAGGCAGCCGAGAAGACAGAGCAGCAGGGGAAGCAGCTGTTGCTCCTGCCCATCACCCAGGCCTAGGGGTCCAAGGAGCCCAATCAGTTAAACGGGCTACCAGAGTCTCCTTCAGGTGGCAGCAATCATTCTGACAGTTTCGTTCCTCTGAGAGCCCCAAAGCAAAATACCCACCCCACTTCAGTCAAGCCACTGCACTCACCAGCTTGCGGATTTGCTCTTGGACAGGTTCGATGATCTCCCTGCCAACAGTGTAGTAGCCACGGGCATAGTTATTGGCGGCATCTTCTTTGCCAGTAATGAGCTGCTCTGGGTGGAACAGCTGCGGTAAGTGCCAGTGCGAACTTCATCTGAAAAGGGGAAGCAGTTGGGTCACCTGTCACTGACCTTGTCCCTCCCCAGGGTACCAGGGGCTCCCCCAGCACAGAGCTCCTGGCCCTGATCCTGGTACCCAATGCCAGCTCACCAATGACCGTGGGCTCCAGGTCTGCAAACACGGCCCTGGGCACATGCTTGCCAGTGCCTGTGTCGCTGAAGAAGGTGTCGAGGGAGTGGTCCAATACCCCAGTTGGCTTTTCACTTGACATCTGGCCATCGGGCTGGATCCCGTGTTCCAGGCAGTAGAGCTCCCAGCAGGCATTGCCGATCTGGACACCAGCTTGACCAATGTGGATGGAGATGCACTCACGCTGTAGGGAGGAAAGAGGAAAAAGAAAAGGACACCCCAGATGAGACAATGGTGAGTGACTCATGCCCAATTGACTCAATCTTCCAGGCAGATAATCACCTTCCCGGAGACTTCTGCCCAGGCTCTACTTCCTTCACAAGATGTTGCTGAAGACCTAATGAAGAGAAGCTGCTTTGGGAGATCAAAGCTCTGTTAATGAGCTGTCAGGCAGACAGGCCTTTGCTTCCTAGTCACTGTAAGTATTCAGGTTGGATTTCCATTATCTCAGGAGACCACAAACTATTCTGCCATTTGTAGGGTTCCCTTAGTTCCTATGGCACCATTCCCCTTCTGGCCAGCTGATTCGCTCCCATTCAACTCACTGCCCTCTTTAATCCTGTTCTTTGGAAAGACACGTTTCCTTCTCCTTTGAAGAGGCAGCTTAAACCAGCACAGAGAAATTCAATGCAGAAAACTCCCAACAACAGCAAGCAGCACTGCCTTAAATTAACTGTGGTGCTAGCCAGCCTTCTAAACTGCCCAGTGTTCATCCTGCAAAGGGTGAAGAAGGGAGGGACATGTTTTAGCAAAGGCTAAGTGTGCCAGCTGACCACACTGCTAGTGTAAGCCAGGAGCCATTTCCACAACATGGGAGGATGGGGCATTGGGAAATAAACCTGGTTTCATTCTCAACCTGCTGAGCAGCCCAAAGGTACCAAATTCCCTCCAGTTTAGGAAAGCAAGACAATCACCACCAATTGCAGACTGCAGAGGGAAAACAAAGGCATGCTCACTGCATTGCATCAACACCCAAAAAGGTCTCATTACATTCCCAAATAATGAGATTTCAGGCTGTTAAAAGCTGCCTAAGAAATGTGCAACAGCTGCTAAGTAAGACATGTGCTTGTGCTTTGAGAGGGACCCAATGCTGTGGTATGGCACCCCAGGTGGGAGCCAGTTCCTGGCTACTCCACTTCTGATCTAGATTCCTGCTAATGTGCAGGAGTTGGAGGAGAAGGGAGCCAGTTAGGACACACACTGATGCCCATATAGGATGCAGGCAGTTGCAGGGCAGAGGATTAGCCAGCTGAGCCAGTCCTTTTGGTCACAACACTGCACAACACCCCCACCTTGCTTTCTGAATCACTGTTTCACCAGCAAAACATCCTCATCTAACTTGCTACTGTGTGACTGGGCTCTGGCCAACTGTAGTCGGGGAAGTCTCAGATCAAGTACAGACTGTATTCCTTCCTCCCAAGATACCGTTTGCTACCTTCCACCAGAACACACAGTAAGGTCTCCCATAGGTACTTTGAGATACTTGTTTCCACCATGCCCGAGAGATGCACAGAAGAAGCTACCTTGTGTGCCACGTCCATGCCGACTCAGGTTGCCACTTTAAACACCTTTTCATGGACTTGTTTTTATAAACCTGCCTAATGTAGGAAGCTTCAGTTATAAACGCCCCCCATGAAATCAACAGTGGAAATACAGGTCCAACACATGATGGCCTATTCCTCCCTTCGGGAGGAGTGCCCAAGGAGCTCCCCTTCCCCTTTCTCCAGATGGCTAGTCAGCAAGTACCAGGGCATGGGAAGGTGGGGAAGGTGGGGAAGGTGAAGTGCACAGCTCTGCCAGGTGGCCGGGAAAGTAAAGCCACCTGGGAGGTGTGGGCATGGGGACCTCAGTTCCTCCAAGTCCCCAGGTCCTGAAGCAAAAGCACTCTGACCTTCCAAGGGCGGTGGCCACCCCATCCTCCCTCCTGGAGTGCAGGGAAGACCCAGGCCACCTGCATCATAGTCTGCTGTGGGAGCTGGATTCCACGGTGCCCTCACCCAAGGGGTCAGCAGCCACACTCACCATGTTGGAAGCTTGCTGGGACAAGGGGTGCCGGAGGAATTAAGCAGAAGGTGCCACAAGAGCTCACACTGGCAGACCAGCAGAGTCTAAGAGGAGAATTACTGATTAGGCAGCCTGCCCGCAGCTGCCTTTATAATGCATTCCCACAAACCCCACCCTCCGTCACGTGGCCAGAGGGCTGCCTTGGAACTCTGACCCAGGTGGGCAGAGAAGGCAACACATGCGGTTAAAAAGTTCAAGCCAAACACCCTGGAGGTCCCCCCCCCCCATTCCCAGTCCTGCCCTGCAGTGGGATGCAAGAAGCTGGTGGGGGGGTGGGAGGCGGAGAAACAAATTTTAAACAGGTGCAGCTGGAACCATAGAACTCATTAACTGACAAGAAATATCTGTTTACTCATCTTAGGCAGCACATGTAGGTTTTTACAGAAAAATCAAGTAACTTTTAGACTCCTTTGAATTAAGATAACAATTATAACTGATAACACAGAAGGGGACCTTAGGCTTGTGTAAATGGAATGCTTTAATTAACAAAAGTTTGCACAGCTTTGCACCTTGTTAGTAAATTCTAATGCAGTCCAAATAGCCATGCTGGAAATATCAAAGTGCCAAAATGTAAAACTTTTGAGCTTTTTAATGTCTCTCAAGGATGCTAAGAAGGCTTAAGATTTTTTGTTGGAAAGAGGATCTCTTTACATGACACGATACAGATGAGATCAAATTATTCACATAAAGTGGTCACTCAGATACTCTAAAAAAGTATTTGTCTTTTCTTTCGTAGAGACAACAACTGATTAGGCTATTTGGACTGCATTAGAATTTACTAACAAGGTGCAAAGCTGTGCAAACTTTTGTTAATTAAAGCATTCCATTTACACAAGCCTAAGGACCCCTTCTGTGTTATCAGTTATAATTGTTATCTTAATTCAAAGGAGTCTAAAAGTTACTTGATTTTTCTGTAAAAACCTACATGTGCTGCCTAAGATGAGTAAACAGATATTTCTTGTCAGTTAATGAGTTCTATGGTTCCAGCTGCACCTGTTTAAAATTTGTTTCTCCGCCTCCCACCCCCCCACCAGCTTCTTGCATCCCACTGCAGGGCAGGACTGGGAATGGGGGGGGGGGACCTCCAGGGTGTTTGGCTTGAACTTTTTAACCGCATGTGTTGCCTTCTCTGCCCACCTGGGTCAGAGTTCCAAGGCAGCCCTCTGGCCACGTGACGGAGGGTGGGGTTTGTGGGAATGCATTATAAAGGCAGCTGCGGGCAGGCTGCCTAATCAGTAATTCTCCTCTTAGACTCTGCTGGTCTGCCAGTGTGAGCTCTTGTGGCACCTTCTGCTTAATTCCTCCGGCACCCCTTGTCCCAGCAAGTTTCCAACATGGTGAGTGTGGCTGCTGACCCCTTGGGTGAGGGCACCGTGGAATCCAGCTCCCACAGCAGACTATGATGCAGGTGGCCTGGGTCTTCCCTGCACTCCAGGAGGGAGGATGGGGTGGCCACCGCCCTTGGAAGGTCAGAGTGCTTTTGCTTCAGGACCTGGGGACTTGGAGGAACTGAGGTCCCCATGCCCACACCTCCCAGGTGGCTTTACTTTCCCGGCCACCTGGCAGAGCTGTGCACTTCACCTTCCCCACCTTCCCATGCCCTGGTACTTGCTGACTAGCCATCTGGAGAAAGGGGAAGGGGAGCTCCTTGGGCACTCCTCCCGAAGGGAGGAATAGGCCATCATGTGTTGGACCTGTATTTCCACTGTTGATTTCATGGGGGGCGTTTATAACTGAAGCTTCCTACATTAGGCAGGTTTATAAAAACAAGTCCATGAAAAGGTGTTTAAAGTGGCAACCTGAGTCGGCATGGACGTGGCACACAATGTAGCTTCTTCTGTGCATCTCTCGGGCATGGTGGAAACAAGTATCTCAAAGTACCTATGGGAGACCTTACTGTGTGTTCTGGTGGAAGGTAGCAAATGGTATCATTGGAGGAAGGAATACAGTCTGTACTTGATCTGAGACTTCCCCGACTACTAGTTGGCCAGAGCCCAGTCACACAGTAGCAAGTTAGATGAGGATGTTTTGCTGGTGAAACAGTGATTCAGAAAGCAAGGTGGGGTGTTGTGCAGTGTTGTGACCAAAAGGACTGGCTCAGCTGGCTAATCCTCTGCCCTGCAACTGCCTGCATCCTATATGGGCATCAGTGTGTGTCCTAACTGGCTCCCTTCTCCAACTCCTGCACATTAGCAGGAATCTAGATCAGAAGTGGAGTAGCCAGGAACTGGCTCCCACCTGGGGTGCCATACCACAGCATTAGGTCCCTCTCAAAGCACAAGCACATGTCTTACTTAGCAGCTGTTGCACATTTCTTAGGCAGCTTTTAACAGCCTGAAATCTCATTATTTGGGAATGTAATGAGGCCTTTTTGGGTGTTGATGCAATGCAGTGAGCATGCCTTTGTTTTCCCTCTGCAGTCTGCAATTGGTGGTGATTGTCTTGCTTTCCTAAACTGGAGGGAATTTGGTACCTTTGGGCTGCTCAGCAGGTTGTGAATGAAACAGGGCTTATTTCCCAATGCCCCATCCTCCCATGTTGTGGAAATGGCTCCTGGCTTACACTACCAGTGTGGTCAGCTGGTACACTTAGCCTTTGCTAAAACATGTCCCTCCCTTCTTCACCCTTTGCAGGATGAACACTGCTCTCCCTGGGCAGTTTAGAAGGCTGGCTAGCACCACAGTTAATTTAAGGCAGTGCTGCTTGCTGTTGTTGGGAGTTTTCTGCATTGAATTTCTCTGTGCTGGTTTAAGCTGCCTCTTCAAAGGAGAAGGAAACGTGTCTTTCCAAAGAACAGGATTAAAGAGGGCAGTGAGTTGAATGGGAGCGAATCAGCTGGCCAGAAGGGGAATGGTGCCATAGGAACTAAGGGAACCCTACAAATGGCAGAATAGTTTGTGGTCTCCTGAGATAATGGAAATCCAACCCTGAATACTTACAGTGACTAGGAAGCAAAGGCCTGTCTGCCTGACAGCTCATTAACAGAGCTTTGATCTCCCAAAGCAGCTTCTCTTCATTAGGTCTTCAGCAACATCTTGTGAAGGAAGTAGAGCCTGGGCAGAAGTCTCCGGGAAGGTGATTATCTGCCTGGAAGATTGAGTCAATTGGGCATGAGTCACTCACCATTGTCTCATCTGGGGTGTCCTTTTCTTTTTCCTCTTTCCTCCCTACAGCGTGAGTGCATCTCCATCCACATTGGTCAAGCTGGTGTCCAGATCGGCAATGCCTGCTGGGAGCTCTACTGCCTGGAACACGGGATCCAGCCCGATGGCCAGATGTCAAGTGAAAAGCCAACTGGGGTATTGGACCACTCCCTCGACACCTTCTTCAGCGACACAGGCACTGGCAAGCATGTGCCCAGGGCCGTGTTTGCAGACCTGGAGCCCACGGTCATTGGTGAGCTGGCATTGGGTACCAGGATCAGGGCCAGGAGCTCTGTGCTGGGGGAGCCCCTGGTACCCTGGGGAGGGACAAGGTCAGTGACAGGTGACCCAACTGCTTCCCCTTTTCAGATGAAGTTCGCACTGGCACTTACCGCCAGCTGTTCCACCCAGAGCAGCTCATTACTGGCAAAGAAGATGCCGCCAATAACTATGCCCGTGGCTACTACACTGTTGGCAGGGAGATCATCGAACCTGTCCAAGAGCAAATCCGCAAGCTGGTGAGTGCAGTGGCTTGACTGAAGTGGGGTGGGTATTTTGCTTTGGGGCTCTCAGAGGAACGAAACTGTCAGAATGATTGCTGCCACCTGAAGGAGACTCTGGTAGCCCGTTTAACTGATTGGGCTCCTTGGACCCCTAGGCCTGGGTGATGGGCAGGAGCAACAGCTGCTTCCCCTGCTGCTCTGTCTTCTCGGGCTGCCTCCGGCCCCCATGTCTAGTAAGGTCAACTTACTTGGAGTCCAGGGAAGATTCAAGCAGCCTTCCCAGTTTTGCTGACAAATGTGACCATGAGATGCTTTGTTATAGCACATGTTTGTAATGGCTCCTGTGGGGGTGCTCAACTCCTGTACTTCTTGATCCAGCTCATTAGAAGCAGCTGCACTGGTGTCTGAACAGAAAGTCCCAAGCTCACAAAGCGGGTACAAGCCTGATTAGAAACAGCCAAAGCCCAGAACTTTGACTCACACTAAGCTGAGAGAGGGGGCAGGTACCTCCTCAGGATAACAGCAAGTGTGTCACTGAGACTTGCAGAAACCTGGCCTGGCTCCTCCCCTGGAGCTTCTGACTGTGGCTGACTGTTGCAGGCAGCCTCAGTGATGTGAACACACTGTGAAGATCATAGTCATTAGGAACTTTTTTGGCCCCATGTTCTTTGGGTATGTGATCAGCTCGTGAGCAACTGACAAATCACGTGTAAAGCTAAGCCAGGGAAGCATATTACTGCAGGCCCAGCTCAGCCAGTCAGTTCCCCAAAACATGAAGGACACAAGTTCACAGCCTGCTGCTTCTCCCAGATATTTCCCAGCAACTTGGGCAGCATGGGCTCTTGTTTCCTGTACTCGGACATCAAGGTTCAGCCACAAGAGTGACTTGGAAAGCGGGACCTGCCTAGGGGGGCAAATACACTTTATAAAGATATGTATTTAAGGCTCTGGGGTGAAGTTCATTTACTGTGATGACCTTCCATGGACATACTTGGTTGTGGGAGTGTTTGCATAAGTGCATGACACTGGGCAGACCAGGGTCAGCCCTGAACCTTGTGTGCTCCAGTCTAGTGGTCAGTCAACTGAAGGAAGGTTGAGAGTGTCCCTGGCTGTGAGCACCAGGAATGGCTGCCTGTGAGGGGTCAGGTGGTGTGCTTGCAGCAGAGCAGCCCCTCCTGTGGTCTCAGAGCCTCAATGCTAATCACTTCCTTTGCCAGCTTACCAGCATTAGTAGGCTTCCCAGGACCAGGTTACATGCTACGCTAAGGCCTCATTGAATGTCTCAAAAACCTGAAGGAGAGAGATTGCAGTTCTCACTGAACGGGAGCACTGAGATGCAGAGTGAGTTTTGTCACAGTAGCACAGTAAGGAATGGGCAGAGCTGGATCTAGATCCAGCAGCAGGGTCCAGGTGTGTGGCACCTCTGTACTCCAGACCGGGAAGAAAACAAGTGCCAAGGGGTGGTGAGGTTCAGGCACCAGGCTGGGGGTCTCACACCTGCCCTGCAGTGGCTCTGACAGCTGACTAGCAGGTGCCCTTAGTCCGTGGGCAGCAGGGGCACCAGAGGACTCTCTCAGGTACTGTGGCAGGACTTGTGATTCTTCTGCCTGAAGCAATGAAGACTTGATGTTGAAACAGGCTTTGGAGCAGGACCTTCCTCTCCCTGCCCTCCTTCCCAGGAGTGACTGAGTTTTGATGTATAGCACCTAGAAGCTCTTTGGTTTTTCTTGGCAAATGGTCAGCAGAGTTTAAGTCGCTGTGTGCATAGTCAGGGGTTCATAGAAGTCCTCTGTGACTTGGAGCAGGGGAGTCCACACTAAAATGTATAAACCTCTTTTGCAGGCTGAGCAGTGCTCGGGCCTGCAGGGTTTCCTGGTGTTCCGCAGCTTTGGTGGGGGTACCGGTTCTGGATTCACATCGCTCCTGATGGAACGCCTCTCTGTCGATCACGGCAAGAAGTCCAAGCTGGAGTTCTCCATCTACCCGGCCCCTCAGGTCTCCACAGCTGTGGTGGAGCCCTACAACTCCATCCTCACCACCCACACCACCCTGGAGCACTCCGACTGTGTCTTCATGGTGGACAATGAGGCTATCTATGACATCTGTCGGAGAAACCTGGACATCGGGCGTCCCCGTTACACTAACCTTAACCGCCTTATGAGCCAGGTTGTGTCCTCCATCACAGCCTCTTTGCGGTTTCAGGGAGCCCTGAATGTTGACCTGCAGGAGTTCCAGACCAATTTGGTCCCCTATCCCCGCATCCACTTCCCTCTGGCCACTTACGCCCCAGTTATCTCCATTGAGAAAGCCTACCACGAACAGCTTTCTGTAGCAGAGCTCACCAATGCTTGCTTTGAGCCAGCTAACCAGATGGTAAAATGCGACCCTCGCCACGGGAAATACATGGCTTGCTGCCTGCTGTACCGTGGGGATGTAGTTCCCAAAGACGTCAACGCTGCCATTGCTGCTATCAAGACCAAGCGCAGCATCCAGTTTGTGGACTGGTGCCCCACGGGCTTTAAGGTTGGCATTAACTACCAGCCTCCCACTGTGGTGCCCGGTGGAGATCTGGCCAGGGTCCCACGAGCTGCCTGCATGCTCAGCAATACGACGGCCATTGCCCAAGCCTGGGCTCGTCTGAACCACAAGTTTGACCTCATGTATGCCAAGCGGGCGTTTGTCCACTGGTATGTGGGTGAGGGCATGGAGGAGGGAGAGTTTAATGAAGCTCGTGAGGACATGGCTGCGTTGGAGAAGGATTATGAGGAGGTGGCAGCAGACTCCGCTGAAGGAGAAGATGAGGATGAGGAGTATTAGTCTGCCCGTAACTGCTGGCTGCTCTACTGTTCTGTCCTGTCTTGCTGTCCATTGTGTCCCTATGTGTCAATAAAGGTAATTTTTGTTTTTGTATAAAAACCTCTCAGGCGTGCCATTTGTCATGTCAGATGGAATGTTCCAGAATTGAGTTGATGAGTGGTGCTAAAAATCTGAAATTGGCAGGCTGGGTGCATATGCTGTAATTTAAAAGTTGTGATAGTGAGTCAACGGGTCTGGTCACTGGGCCAGTGCTGCTTGGGCTAAAATATGTTTGAGTCTGTCATCCACAGCAGGTAAAGTTGTGTGATGGCACTCCTGGCTCCCTCTATAATCTAGGTTCCTACTGACACATATGGCAAGGTAGCAAGTGATGGCCTAGGCACTTAGGTCCCTGCTAGCCCCGTGGGAGATCTGCCTGAACTTCCGGGAATCTGACTTCAGGTTGGCCCTGCTGCTTTCCTGGGACCATCTGGAGGGTTGGGCTGATGAGCAGAAGACTGCCGTTGCATTGCCTTTCAATTAAAGCTTTCACAAATGATTATGAAACCTACAGGTATTAACATGCAATGATTCTAACCCTGTAAGTTTGAAGTGAGCTTTACATCCTATGTTTTTAGAAATGTTATTGGAAATGCAGAGTCAGGAGATTTGTTTCTGTCCACTTGTATATTTTCCAGGTGACTGCAGTGTTTGGGACTGAGCTGACCAGATGCTACATTTGTGTCTCCCACATGGGTACAAGGTCCTAAGGCTTTGGGCCATCCTGTGCTGCTTTCTCAGAGCACAAGCAGGAAGCTGTGTGGGAAGTCAAAGTCCATATGGGATGCTGGTGCTTTCAAGGAAGGATTTAGCCATTAGCCCGTTGCACTGGGCCCCATTCATGAGCCTTGCGCACCTACTTCATCTGCATTTACATGAGAAGATTACATTTTAGTGAGGACGACAGATAGCATGGGGAACCTGTGGGATCCTCTTTAGATTGGTTCTTTTTTTCTCTGTTAAGGAAGTGCAGCCACGACCCGAGAGTGAGATCAGGAAGAAGGTTTGGGTGGGTTCAGGGCACTGAGGGACTTTTCAAAGCTCCAAGGAGAGTGGGAAAGGAAGAAATGAATGCGAATGAAATCTGACTGTAAGTCACATAATCCCAACGGAGGTGGGTGTCATGAATTTGCAGCAGATTTGTGAGTGCCACAGCCCTGGCAGGCCAAACTCGATTCAAACAGGTTCAAGGTTTTACTAGGGGAGCACCATCAGAAACTGGAGCAAGGCAGTCACAGGTGTAAACAGGAACAGAAGAAATAGGAGGATACAATGGCGAGGTGCTAGGATCGGGGCTGGCAGTGCCTGCTTGGGCAGTGGGGCTGTGGGTCTTGGGTGTGCAGAGCCAGAAAATGGGAAGCATGAGTGAGATAACAGGAAGCTTCAAATCCAGGCCATGAAGGAGTGTGGGTGAGGTTGCTCAGACCCGGGAAGTTGGCCAGCAGCAGGGTGGGAAGAGGCCACCGTGTGGATGACAGAGTGGACACCTAGGGCACCAAGTGGATAGGAATGGTATTAAGGTTAGGGGGGTTGGGACTAGATGAGGGAAGAGCTAGATGAGGAAAGAGACCGAGATGTTTCTTTGATAGGATCAGAGTTGTTCCAGGGCAGGCTAGATCCCTGGTCCTTACTTAGGGATCCAGGATATCTGTTCACAGTGAAGAGGTAGGCACAGGGGAGAATCCTGAAGAATGAAGAGAAGGGAGTCACGGTGGGTCTTTGAAAGTGAGAAGGAAAGTATTGCAACAGCTGGTGGTAGGCTGGGAGAGGCTGACTCCTGCTCTCCCAAAACACAGAAGAGCACGAGCTCCTGGTGCGCATTGACTCCAGTCCTGTACCATGAGTGGAATGCATGGAGGACAGAGGTGAGCACACGGAAGCTTGGCAGGTGTCTTCTGTAGCAACAAGCATGATGCTAATACCCACACCTCTACCCCCCTAGACCTGCTCCCACATGCATTCTGAATGCTGAGAGCAAGACCAAAAACAGTGTCACGTCAGCCAGAGATGGGAAAAAATATATACATAAATGATCAGAAGCTAGCCTCTCCCCTCTGCACTGTGTAAATCTTAGAATTTCCCTTCTGTCTGTGAGGATCTCTGTAGAACTGTCCAGAAGGCTGACCCCTTCCAATCAGGCCATGAGCTGCCTGGTTGTGTCCCACTCTGAGCTCAGAATGAAGGCAAATGGTTTCTCTGACCTCAGATGTGTGGCTTCCCCCTCACACAAGCAGCTGCAAACACTGAAAACTACTGCATATTTTATGACTTCACTTGATTGCGACCTGAAATGACCCACAGCACAGCCATCACAGTCACAGGTGCCTGTGTTCAACTTGGGGAAAAATCAAGGCGTCTCATAATCCCATTTCAAGTCCAGTAATACGTTATAATGGATCACAGAACTCAGGGAAACACATTGCTACGGGTTTGTCATAAGGAGTATTGGGTTTTAATTTTTTTTCAGATTTATTGGAAAGGCAGGTCAGATTTACAATGAGAAAAAAGAGTCAGAGAAAGATCTTCCATCTGCTGGTTCACTCGCCAAATGGCTGCAATGACCAGAGCTGAGCTGATGCAAAGCCAGGAGCTTCTTTCAGTTCTCCCATATTGGTACAAGGTCCCAAGGCTTTGGGCAATCCTCTACTGCTTTCCCATGCTACAATCAGGGGGATGAATGGGAAGTGAAGAAGCCTGAACATGACCCAGCACCGCATTTGGGACGCCTGTGTTTACGAGGTAAGGATTTAGTCATTGAGCCATTGCACTGGGCCCGATGCAGGATATTGTTGAGGATAGAGATACAGGGGCATGAGGGGTGAGATCTGGAAGCAGGAGTTTCTGTCCTTTTTGTCTTCCAGGCACATGGGCTCCACCTGGAACTCTTGGAGCTTTGGTTTGCAGCATTTTTTTTTTTAAGATTTTTTTTTTTATTTACTTAAAATGCAGGGTGACAGAAATGTTCTAGCTACTGATTTAGTCCTGAAATGGCCACAACTGAGCCAGGCTAGAGCCAGGAGCCAGGAATTCCATCCAGGTCTCCCATGTGGGTTTCAGGAGCCCTAGATTGAGGTCATCTCCTACTGCCTCTCAGAACAGCCATTCCCGAGGAGCTAGATTAGAGTCTCAGGAGCCAGGACCGGAACAGGCACTCCAATATGGGATGCAGGTGGTCAATGTAGCAACCTATGAGCTGAACATTGCCCCAGATGCTCTTTGGGAACTCATGTTCAGTGATCTGAGACTCAAGTCTGCCTACCTTCGCCCTCCCTACTGTCCCCACAGACCTCCCACACACCTCACCCACTGTCAGCTATGGGTCTCCTACCTACTCTCACCCACCCTACTCTTTCCCATGGGCCTCCAATGCACCTGCATCTTCCCCACGCTTTGCCTACATTCTTCCCATCTACCTCCTGCCCTGTTTATTATGGTTGCTGCTTACGGACCACCTGCCTCCATCCTGCTGGTCTGACACCTGCTCCCTGTGAAAGCACAGTCTGATCCCATCAGGAGTTTAGTCACCTGATAGCATCCAGTCTCACACAGACAAAAGGATGATGCTTAGGGGTGGGCTGTTGAAACCCACTCCTTCTCTGACCTTGCTGTTGCTTTCATCTGCTGCCACAGCCCCTGAGCTGCTACGGGGCAGACCCCTACCTAGACATCCACTTGGCTCAGTGGGTCCTTCCTTCAGAAAATGATGTGGACAGAGGACATCAGCCAGCATTTCTGGCTACCCAGGCCTCTCCATAGCTTCAGTTTTCCTTACGTGCAGGCTCTTCCCCAAGAAGAAACGGAGTCTGCCCAGTGGGATTTCATTGGTCAGTTGCACATTGTCTAGCACATGCAGCTGAATGACATAATTGCATATTTCTCAGGGTATGATAGAGAATGACTCAGAATGACTGTATTTTAATGCATAAGAGATGTGCTGAGTTCCACTCGACCACTTGTCCTAAATTTGGAATTCGGGTTTCCAGATCCTAATCCAGTGAGAGCAGGTGCTTTCCTCACTGGTAGTGCAATGCAGCTGGGGATCTTGTTTGCCAAAGGTTGCTGATCATATTAGCAGCCAGCGCTCCCTGCTACTAGGGGCCACCGTGGCTCTGACATAATAGCAATACACGGCACTGAGGAGTCAAGAGAGTCCTTACTTCAGTGTTGTGTTGTTCTATTTTTAAAATTTCTTTTATATTTGAAAGGCTGGCTCACTCCTCAGAAGCCCTCAGGAACCAGGGCTTGGCCACGCTGAAGCCAGAATACCAGAGCTTTTTCTAGGTCCCCTAAATGGTGGCAGGGACCCAAGTGTGTGAGCCATCGCCTGCTGTCTCCCAAGGTGCACATTAGCAAGAGTCAGAGCAGAGACTAGAATGAGGCCCTCTCCCCAAACGGGGAAGCAGTTGTCCCAGGCTGGGACCTAGCTGCTGAGCCACAGCCTACCTCTTTCTATACTTCGAATCTATATCCTCTGTGTCTCATGGGGTCCTCCCTGTTCTGTTTGGCCTTCAGATGTCAGAAGGATTCTGTTGGTCACCAAGAAACTGTTTTTTTGTCCGGCTTGCGTAAGAACTTGCTGTTTCAGCCTATGTTGTGGGGCAGTGGCCTGAGCCCTGCGAGGGTCACCTGCATTCCGTGTCACAGTGCCAGCATTCCAGCTCCTAGATGCTTCCAGCCCAGCACTTCTTCTATGTGCCTGGGAGGCAGCAAATGATGGTCCTCAAGTACCGTGGCCCCTGCCACCGATGTAGGAGATCTGGGGGGCGGGGGGAGTTTCTTGCTTTTGGCTTTGGGTTAGTGTAGTTCTATCATGGGCATCTGGGGGTGAGCCACCAGAGAGAAGTTTTCTCTTTCACTCTCTCCCCGCCCCCAACTTACTGTATTTTTTTTTCTGTTGATTACTCTTAAGAAAAAAGAAAGAAAGAGGGAAAGAAAGAAAGAAAGAAAGAGGGAAAGAAAGA